CCTCCTAGCTGCTCACCAGGTAAGAGTCAAAGGAAAAAGCCTTCAGTGTTTGATTATAAAGTACATTGTATTGTAATGCCATACTAGTTCTTATTTCCTTACAGCCTTTGCATGCAAAACCTTTGTAAATTCTGAAAATGAGAAGGTACCTGGTCTGGGGACTTTGGTACAGGTTCGGCCGTTTCCAAAAAACCCTGCTGGACATCGACCGCAGACGTATCCGATGTAAGGGGGTTTCCGATCAAAACACAGCACTCCAGGAAAGCATGGCCTGTTGGCACAGGTGGTAACGTGGGACAGTGGTGCTGCATGGCCTGCAAATGAAGGAAGTTCAAGCATATGTATTTATAATTTCTCAAATTAAATATATATATATATAAAATGAAGCAATGACTGCCTGAGCTCAGCTAAATCTTTATAACTTCTTTTATTCTTTTAAAGTCTAATTAACACAGATCTCTCCCAAACCTTGAGCCAAACATGAGAATGTCCTGGAGGCATAGTGTAACAGAACAACTGTTTCTTGTTAAAGGAAGATTTATTAGTCTGCTAATTACATGTTTTCAAGTTTATTACTCAAAGTTGTTTGGCATTTATCATGGATAATATGGAAACTGTAATTTTCAGCATAAGTGAAAGATTAACTGAGTGAGAAACTATATTATTCAGACATCCTTTTGGTCTTTTATAATTGGAAGGTAATTATCAAACCCTACAGCATATATACTTTACCTTTAAAAATACACCGTCAAGTACATATGTTTCTGATCTAGAAATCATCCTTAATGTGTCAAACCTTGTATGACAGGAGACTACTTTAATTATCTTAGAACTATGTGCAAAATTTAACACTCCAGTAGTATATAATACTTTATCACTTATGATGTAACTGAATAGCAAGTGTATATGAACTGCCTGTGAAGTATTTAACAGTGTCAAGACAGAGAACAGATGATGAATAAAATCTTAATGAGACTTGTAGATCTTTTTTAATTGCCTCCAGTGAGGTCTCCATCATGATTCTCAAGTATTTTCAGCATTATTCTTGCCCCTTGCCTACAGCATTATGATGGATACCTGTAAGAGGTGTGTTCTGGTTAGGTGTTGGCTGGCCTTGTAGAGACATACAAAAACAGGTGAGGAAAAAATAAATCTTTTATTTTACATATGGCTCTACACAACAAACATGTCCAGTCTCAATTCTTCTCCCTGCTTTCACTAAAAATGCAGTACCCTTTAGAACTTAAGCAGCGTGCCAGTGCACACCCCTGTTAAAGGGAGCTGTAGAGCTCCGCACCTGGGAAAAGCAGCTGCTGAAGCCAAGTTCATACTTCAGGAGTCGATCTTTGCTTCTGCTCAAACCTCAGTCTGAATTCAGTGACTGCCTGTCAAACGCTGAAATAAAATGTCAGCGTCACTTGGCAGTGGCAGGTTGGCATAAGCTTTCATTCTTATCATCTGGCTTCCCATTGATCACTAAGATTTGGAGTGATTTTGTTCTGCCTCAGAAGCAATGTGATTTCTAGTTAAGCCTGACCACTCTGATTGTTATTGCTGCAGTGGCTCTCTTCCCAGGTAAAATTGTTTAGCAGCAATCCAGTCGGACGTATTGTGTGTGTTTTTTTTTTTTTATTTTTACCTCCATCTTTCCATGATGTATTATAAACAGTTAGTTTATGTTTACTGTTAAGGTGGTAAAATGTATGAATTCTGAATATGTAAACTGCAGCAACTGAAAAAGATTTCGTATACTTGTATACTTACCATGTCTATCACTTATGCTAACACTCTTAATTACAGGAGAATCTTTTGCCTCTAAGGGTTCCAGGAGCTGCTTAACCTCAGTCTTGTTTGAATCACCTTTGCCATCGCCTTTTCCAGTGCTTAAAGCTTTTGTAATGTCAGCAGCAAGCACAGCTGTGAAAAGAAAGCATGGAGACAAGGAAACAAGGTGTTAGAGCTTAGCTGTGATTGATGATAAAAAGCAACAGTAACAGCAAATCAGATAACCTGACAGAAGTTTATTCTGGAAGCCAACCATCAAGCAAATAAAGGCAAATCAGGTGAGTCAGCTGCTGACGTGCAGCAAAGCTTCAACACAAATATAGAATAAATTGCTGTGCCCAGATTCCCTGAACTTTGCTTATCTGGCAGACATAGTTAATATGCACAGTGATCTTGTATTGAGCTGGGGGCAGTGAGAAGGCCCCAGGTCCCCATGTACTACACTGGATTGTTACTAGGATGAAGATGCTACACTACACACCAGGACCTGTGCTCTGACCGATTCCTGCCTCTCCTTGAAAACTTCTTTCTGAAACTATGTTGTGCATGGTTGTTGGCTTCAGTTAGTTCAGCTTCAAACTTTGGATGTGTCAAAATACCTGTACAAAGTATACAGGGGTTTAAAGAGGAAAACTGATTGGTTGAGAGTCTAAAAAATATTGATTTCTCCATAATTTTAAGATAACTTATTGAATTGATTAGGGATTATAAAGTTTATGTGGATATATGTTACAAGCTAAACAGCTCTACCCTGGGTCTCTTGGTTATTCTGTACTCTTAGTAGAGCCTGAGACTATGACTCTTTGCATATATATTAAATAATACAATATAGTCCACTCTACAGCTATAAAGTTACTTCAGTTTTCTCCTCCTTCCTCTCAGAAGTCTTTACACTTGCTTCAGCAAGGGAAGGATGAGTAGGTATGCTAAGTCTGTATATCAGAACCACAAAAAATTATTTCTACCCTATTTGGGGGGGAAAGGAAGCCCTCAGGTTTATTCCTTCTAATAGATGTGCATTTCAGAAATAGAGAAATCCTTCTGTAATTAAAAATAACGCAAAGGAAGAAATTACTTTTTTGATACATTTAAAAAACAGGGCATTATTTTGTATATCCTTACTTCATTGGTCAAATTAGCTACAAAAATATGCATTAGTGAAACAGATGCTAAATTACTTTGAAATAACCAACATGGCCAAATAATACAGCAAACCCCCCATTCTGTACGGACATTTGGCAATATGATTGAAGGGACATTTGGTAAACCCGGCAAAGGCAGTCCTGTTGGTGCCAGGATCCTGCAGTTACAACTGAGTCTTTCTACTCCAGATTTTTTTTTCTTTTTGGTAGGCAATATGAGGAAAAGTTAACCTTCACAGTTAACATCTGTATCTTTTGCTTCTCGGGTTTCTTTGGAAACATGAACAAACAAACAAACGAACAAACATGAAACACTTCAAATGTTGATTTCTCTCCTTCTGACCAACTAAAAGTTATTTTTAGAGATTTGTGTGTATAGGACTGAAAACCACAGCGTGAGTAGGTCATATCCCGTGCACTGGGAAGGTCTCAGCAGAGTACAAAGTCACTGTAGTATCCCTACTAAAGAGTCTGTTGCCCAAACAGCAAATGCCAAACAGGTATAAAATTGTTCCTAGCCATTTCCTTCACTAGTTGGGACCTGCGGCATGACTTTATGCCAAGCATGAGCTCAGCAGCTCTGGACTGCGTCCTCTAATGAAAGTACACCTTGGAAACAGAGGTGAAAGGATGTGAAGGATCTGCACATGGACCTTCTTCCTCTTACCCTACATCCTCTTACACAGCATTCACCCAAAACAAACATTATCCTGGAGGTACTCCCCACATACTTGTCAGTGGAAGGTGTATTTAGGTGTGAAGGAGTGGAGAACATGGGGAATGTCCTTGGGAAATTATCTAGCTGGCATCTGGAAAACACTTTTTTTGTGTGCTATGGTGTTCATTCAAATAAAAATGAAATTAAACTGCAGTGAAAAATAGCAACCAGAGACCAATTTGCAATTATCCATATTAATATAATATGAAAATATTCTGTTTTGTATATTTAAAGGTCTGTTCTTGAAGCAAGTGGCAAAGTACTCAATTAAGGACAATAGCAGTAGAACTGAACCCATTTTTTTTCCTCATCTAGTAAAATAAATCATGCAAAACACTTACGTTTACAAGTTTTACCATTTCCCTCCATCCCACTGGGGCAAATTCCACATGCATACGATCCAAAGGTATTCATACAAGACACTCCAGGAAAACAGAGACTCTCTTCACATTCATCCCTGTCTTCCTGACAAGTAAGCCCTGTGGCAAAACAAAGGGGAGGTAAGTAATCAGGGAAGATTCACTGTTTATTTTTCGTCTCAAATGTTGAAGCAGACTAAGGCTTACTTCTTAGCTGTAAAATTATAACAGGGTATGTCAGTCATGTTAGAGCCAAATTCCCCACCGTCTCACTTCAACCTGCTTTTATCACACTGCTTATTGCTGTTGCTACTGGCACCAGAAGTGCTGAACTGGAGACTAGTGCTCGTACAGAACTGTGCATTTTAAATAAATTATTTCCCCTGCATTTCACATCTTTGTTGCTACTTTTGTTGTCTTGTTTCTGTGAGATCTTTGTCCTACACTGAAGAAGCCGATGAATGTCACCATTTTGGCTGTAGGATATGAAGAGCCATGTACTGACCTATTGTGCTTTTCATTTCTATGTGAACCTCATGTAACTAGTAGCTTATTGTGAACCAGCCTGATAGACTTGGGCGGAAGGTATACCTTACCAAATGCTCAGATTTAAAAAAAAACCAATCTTTTCTATTTAAAAGTAAAATTTGAAGAAACTTTCTGGAAATATCCCTCCTGCAGTGCTGGTGTATGGAAGATAAGCTGCTACAGGTTCTGAACCCCAAACACTACATCGTAACTGTTGTTGATTTAGGAAATAGAGTTTGAGAAGTCCCCTGATGTGACTGATATTCAGATTCACAACTCTGGATGATTGAATGGATACCTACAGGGGCAGGTAACCCAAAAGTTAAAATTACTGTCTGAATGATACAGAGTAATCACACATAATGTTGTTGAAAACTCCCTCAGGCTCCTGCGTGCTGCTGTCTCTGCACTTGAGAAAACTCACTTGACTATTGCTGGTTACCAGAGTGCGCAGCACTGATAGCAGGTTGTAAACCAGCCCCTGTCACTGCTGTTAACACGTGTCCTTTGTCCCCTGTAGGAATACAAGAGACTGGGACACCTTCTGGAGAGTCCATGTACCTGCTTCAAGACATACCATAAGGTACGTAAAGGCTTGTTTCATATCAGATATCCAGCTTTATCATGGAAGAAAATTCAAGGAGAAAAGAATATTTTTTTTTCTTCAAAAAAGAAATTTGTCACAGTGGAGTGAATTACAGGATGATAAAAACAGAACATTATTATTCATCTCCTACAACATAATCTCTCATTGCTTCAGCATTTCAGATAGCTTCCATTACTCCTTTCAAGTTAAAATAGCATCTCCATGTAAAAAACCTCAAATTGAAATCCCTCTTGATTGAGCTGCCTAAAAAAGTTAGTGACATCACCTTCTCGTGCCTGCTTTGTCTTGTGGAAAAAAAAAAACCACCAACAACAAAAAAAACCCCAGTAACACAAAAGCTCTGTCCCTTTTCTGGTGCCATCTCAAACTAAGTTGTTCTGGTTTTGCATGCTTCTTGCTCCTTTCATGTAAGCTGGACATCACAGAGTATTGCAGGGCTTAGCTTACTTTTTCCCCCTCCCTTGTTACATTTTAGATTACTATTTCTGTTTTTAATTTAATTTGTGCATTCATAGCATCAGGCTGCTTTTCTCTGATACTGCTTTCTGATGATGTGGGGAAATTATTAGACATCACATTTTGGAAAATATTGAATTAATTACCCTCTATTAGATTACTAATTATTTTCTTTCTCTAAGTAGCGTATAAAGACTAAACATGATACCATAAACAATTAAAGTAGGAATGAAGTTCCCAGTTTCAATAACAACAGCCATTTCTCCCCCAGTCTCCTCTCCTCCCTCCTACATACTCTTATTTTTGCTGCCAAGAGCTGGCTTTGAAATCTCAAAGATGAGAGAATTACAAAAAGCAAAGGAACTCCATAGGTAACAAGCTAAATTTTAAAATTCAGTCACTTGACTGACTTTTGTAACGTAAAGGTAGAACTATGCAAGCACTTCATTTCACTCCCAGTGATTTGATTTTCAATGGCATCTGATCAATTTGGGCACAATGATAATCCAGCTGAGTCTGAGGACAAATGTTTGCAAAGTCTGAAACTTGGCTGAAGGTTGCTGAAGAAGGAGAAGAAATGGACAGAAAAATGTCTGCAACAAGAAGTGTCAATTATCCTGTTTGCACGACCTCTGGTGCACAGCAACACAAGGGAGTCTCAATTCTTGTGGCACTGCCACAGTACAAATAAAAATAATAGGAATAAAAGATCTGCAGGTTGCAAGGTTGAAACATCTGTTTCTGTGCCAGCTCTATTTCTCCATCCCTGCATGGGAAATTGGCTGAGAAGATAAAGTCCCTTTATGCCTCGAAAGGAGCTGACCACCTACGGATGCAGAGAAAGACTTTTTGACTGTGTTCACATTAAGTTGGCTCTAAAGGAAGAGGCAATCTCATTTAGGGACTCTATGGTTATTACAAACCGTGGACAAATCTTGGGGTATTCTTCACTTTCCTGAAAAATAAAATGAAATTATCGTTCCATCTTGCCCCCCGTCCCCCAATTTTATATAAATCAATGGTACATGGGGAAAGGACGAATGGTTTTGTGATTGAGAGACAGCTTTCAAGGATGAGTTCTGTCCTCAGGAGGGTGATGTTCTTGCTTACAGTTGCCAAAAAGAAGAAACAACAGGAATTCTTGTTATCTTGTTACCAATGTCAAAGAAAAATGAATGAGCTTTGAACACTCAATGAGATAAATGTATATGTCTCTGAAGAAATTTAAAGTAATAATAATTTTAGTCCTTCTCTCAGATTTTTCAATGGTTTCTCTCCCTGCATTGTTCCCATTCCTACGTTATACCCTTACCTTGCCTGAGATACACAGATGTGCCTGAATTTCTACCACCTAGCAACACGCTGTGTTCCCCGTGCTGCTGCTTCTCTTGTGGTGGCATTTGGGAAGCTCTCCAAAGAGTTAACTTGTTGTTTCTACTACCTGTTCACTATCATTTGTAAAGATTTGATGGTGAAGTGGTGCTGTCACTGGAGCAGTATAGCATTGCCTTCTCATTAGATTATTGATGGTTTTCTGGGGAATTGAGACATAAACAGAGCATCAAGGATGAGCTTTTATTGTTGTCACAGAACCTGCCCTGAAGTAAAATCATCCACTTCCCAGCTGGCTTTCAGCTCCACTTGTTTATAATTTTTCACCTGCTATTAAAGCTTTGAAAAGTATTCCTATTTCACTCAATCATATGTATATATTTTTTTTTTTCTGTTGCTGCTGGTGTTTTAGCATTTTTTTTTTGCGAGGAAAGTACAGCAAAAACAACGCACATTTATTTAACCTGGCAAGAATTAAGGGTTCGGGAAAACCTCGTGTTTCTCTGGCCATCAAGGTGTCCTGTGCCCTCATCTTCAGAGTCAGCTGGATGTTGCTTTCAAGTGTGTTATTTTGAAGTGCTGGATATTAAATACTTTATTTCTTTGTGTAAGATTGAGGACCGCATTTCAGAATATGCTCCATGTGAATTTATAAACAGTGCATTGTAATTATAGCAGACTGTTTTATGTGGAATAATAGAGCTTGATTTCAGTCCGTCTATGTGCAATACTGCATAAAGGGAGACAGGCAGCAATGTGAGATCGGTGGAGATCAGACAACAGAAGCAGATCCACTGAAGTGATTAACTCATGGAATTACATTGCTTTTTTTTTTTTTTAATTCATTTAATCCACTTCCTTACAGGCAATGATGAATTGTTCTCATTGTATATTTCCAAACATTTAACCACATACATCCAAACAGCTTCTCAAATTTCCCTGTGCTCATAGGAACGTTATTTCCAGGGGGATTCAGGACATTCTGCATACATTTGTTTGGTTTGGGGATATTTATATTTTGATCAAACTTTAATTTTCTAACTTTATTCTCCATGCTTAAGTTTGTATGTTCCTGCATCAGTAGAGTCTTTGGAGGCACAAAGACTCTGGATAACAGCAGGCTTTGACTGCTGGGTAGCATTACCTACAGTCAGTACCATCTAGGTGTCTAGGCTATTTTTATGAACTTCCACTTCTAAATGATTTTATTTTTCACTTCTGTTGGAATTTTATAGTTGATGAAACCTGGACTTGCAATCCCACTTGACCAAAACAAGGTTTTGTGAACTGCTGAAAGGCAAGAAGAGTACCTTACTAGCTGTGTGACCCCAATGAGTAAAATCTCTTCATTGCTTTTGTTTAAAATTGAGTTTCTCGTATATATACTCACTAAAAGCAATAATAATTATGTGCATTTGATGTTACTTCTACTTGATTTTCCAAAGCTATACCACTGCACAGCAGCCAACATTATGGGTCTCATTAATTCATTCATGCTTCATATGTGAACAAAATAGGATTTCTGACATGCTCAGGGACTGAAATCGGAGCCCAGCTTAAGGTGTTTTTTTTCTTACTTGGCATTTGAAATGGTTCTGAACAAAGCAATGTCCTAACACAGCTTCAGTTACCACCTTTCAGCTGCAGGAGACTAATTTGACTCTGACGAGAATGGATAGTAACACAATGTCTATTTTCCAGTGAGTGCTCAGCAGCCTAGGTGAGTGGCTGTTATTTGACCTGGCCCTTCACAAAGCTAAGCAAGAGCCAAGTTTAGAAATCCCATTTGCGTTCTATATGTTCAGATTTGCCTTGTACCTCCTCAAGAACCGAACTGCAAATGTAAAGACAACTTTCGTTAAGCTCCAGAAAAAGGTGTGTTTAGGCCAATGTGAAAATCTGTTATGTTGGAAGAGAGTTGTGTTACAAGCAGCTGGAGGAGGGTGGTAGGCACTCTGTGAGACCTAACAGCGACTCAGCTCAGCCAAACTCCAGCAGCTTAACGCAGCAGAGAGCCTAATGGTTGCCTCTGCCAGTTCCATTTGTGGTCCATGTGCTGTCACAAGTGTTTTCTTCATGTGTGTGAATCATTCACAGATGTCCTGAGCGCGGTGAAGCTGGCTCTAAATTTCATGAAAGGTACCAACATGTTCTCTCCTCCTCTGTGTTATCTATTAGATGCTTTTCTTTCTCCTCACATTTGAGGTTTTCCGGTTTGCACTGTCTTGCATCAGTTGCTTTGGCCTCACTGCACTTCATTCTCCAACTCCTCCTCTTTGTGTTTTTCATTCTGCTTTCCTAAGACAATCTTTTTTGGTGCAGTGATCATCCTCTTCCCTGCATCATTTAAAATCATATTGTGACCAGCCCTAAACAGTTTAAAAGGTTTGTCCCATCAGCATGTCTGACAACTGAATGAGTTTGTCGTTTTCTAATGCTTAAATTTAAAGAAACTTCAAGTGGGACTAAAGAACAATTTATTTTTACATGTTTTCCATCTCTACCTTTACTTCCTAGACCTAGAGAAATCATTAATTCCTGGTTATTTCATTGGCTTAATTTAGTAAAATCCTCTAGAGTGCAAAAGGGTCCTGGATCCTGGCCTTATCCCTCCTCCACTCTCTTCTCCTACCTCATCTCATGGATGGAGAAATCCACAGGAAATAAGCAGGTGGGAGCTGAGATCAGGAAGGTTCACAGCCTCCTTGAGTGATCATTTCAGGACCACAGAGCACTGGAACAGGCTGCCCAGAGAGGTTGTGGAGTCTCCTTCTCAGGAGACATTCAAAGCCCGCCTGGATGCGTTCTTGTGTGATCTGATCTAGGTGTCCTGCTCCGGCAGGGGGATTGGACTAGATGATCTTTTGAGGTCCCTTCCAATCTCTAACATTCTGTGATTCTGTGATTCTGTGATTCCTTCCTTGAGCATGGTTAATTAGATCATAGCTGGGTTTGCACATTTTCTATCTGTCTAAAGCCAAGTCACGGGAGCAGAAGAGGAGGCTTACATAGTCCATTTGACAGATGCCTGTGTGCTGCACTCAAAAAATCCTGTAGCACAATATATCTCCAGTTAAATCAGAGATGGAAACAGTGAGGAGTTACCTCCCAGACCAGGGGGACATTTACAAAAGTAGCTATCCACACCATCCACGCATGTTCCGCTGCCGCAGGGGTTTGATTTGCAATCGTTAACATCTTCCTGGCAGAATTCTCCATCAAATCCATTTGGACACAAGCACAGGTATTCACCCAGGCCCGGAGGGAATTTAATGTTGGTAACACATGTTCCACCATTCAGGCAGCTGCAGGGCTTCACTCCAACCTGGGGAAGGCAAAAGGTGGTGAGATTCCTCCAAATAATCGCCGCTGAGAGGTGTATTGTTACCCTTTGGGAAGGGACAGATTTGCAGTGCAAACATGTTACCTAGTATTATGAAAACTCATTTCTAACCAATTTCCTTTGTCTAGATAGATGGTCTCATAGTCAGGATACTTATTTATTTGACTGAAAACTTGACTTTAAAGGGATTTTTTTTTGTTTTTATCATTTAGGGACACATTCTGACTTCTTGTAAGAAAAAAATCCTATTTGCTATAGCAGCAGTTTTCACATAGTATCTGAGGGCAGAATTTGTTCCTTATTCTTCAAAGAAGAAATGGAAATTATTTTCTCTTTGCCTGTCTGCCCTCCTTGCTCTTTCCCATTATTATTTTCTCCCAGGCAGGAACATGATTGTGGGATTCCTTAGCCGGTCTTGCTCTTCAGGGAAGAGAAGTCCATAGTTTTACCTTACGTATGTACAAGAACAGCATTTCACCAGATTCATACCTCTGTATTATCACACCTAGTTAAACACAGGTTTAGTTCGAAATGTTTCCATTTAAAACCATACCTAGACTCTAGCTTCCCCTTTGCTGTGTGGGTTCAGCATATTGGTGTTTTTGATGATAGTGGTTTGAATGAGTAAAAATTGGAATCTTTAGGAAAAAAAATCTGTTCTTCACAAAACTGTTCTTATGTCAGGAGTCTGCATCCCACTTTATTAGCTCACCCTACCACAGGGTTAATGTTAGGCTCTACAATAAAGACAAAGCAATGCACAAGCTCTGCCAAGAAACTTAAAGTGTGGAGTAATGACATAAGAGCAAGACACCCTCTAAAAATATCATTGAGAATGAATTATAATCTCCCTTTTATAGCTAAAACTTGGTCTTTTATGTTATATGCTTTTTTTCTGCAATCCAAATGCAGAATGTGAATTTTAAAGCAGATTAATGAACCATTAAAAGGCTCTGCAAGACTGTTCTTTCAAACAGCAATCAATAGCACTCTCTTTTTCCTTGTATATATAGTTTCTATGTTCTCAGAGATATTTATTCCATTAATTGATCATTATTGCTGTGCTGGATAGTATACACTTATAAGGAAACAGCTGAAGTCTTAGTTTTCAAGACAATAACAAATTATTAGCTATAATGACAATTGCACCGAAGCACTGACATGATAAACAGGTTTGTTTTGTTTCTCCTTTAAAGTGTTCCCATCCTTACCTCAATAGAGTATCTGTTCTGTGCATTGCATTCATCCAACACAGTGAATTCAAAGGTCTGCATTTCTTCCGAATCAACTTTCCAGATAAGAAGGCCAGCGGGAGACAGCCTGGCATCCCGTGGCCCAGCCTCTAAGATGAATAGCACAGCTGACCCTTCCGGATCCACTGCTACTAACTGGTAAACAAAATTCTCACCAATAAATGTCAGCAGCTGGCTGGAGGGGGCCTGGAACACAGGAGGCAGGTTGTCTAAACAGCAAAAATGAAACCATGATTACATAAATTCCGTTTTCTCCCGTGTAAAGATTCACAGAGCAGGTCTTTGTAGGAGTTCTCTCAATGAAAAAGGTAGAGAATGTACCCTGAGATGGACAGAGGAAGCGATTTAGTTATTAGAGGCAGCAAATGGCTTTACCCAAAAGTATACCTTTTTCCTCCTATTTTTTTCATGCCCCATACTGAACTTTGATTACTTTTGATGTGTTATCTGATACATGGGAGGAGAGCAGACATGACTTCTATAACCTCCCACTAGTCCCCCAGTTCTTACTAAAACCTTAATTAATTGCATTTCAAATACTTACATATATATATATCTACCACCCTATCTATCTATCAATTTAAATATAAGTAAACTAAATGTCAAAATGATGACGGACAAATTAATTGAGTGGGCAACTCAAGGGGAAAAATAAATTGTGTAATTCTTCCACTGAGTAGACTCTCCTGCCTTTACACGTGAGCAGTAATTAAGCCTGAGCAATCTGACTGAATTCAGTTGGACATTTCATGAGGAATAAAGGTCTTCTCAGTGTCAGCAGAGGTACATCGGATGCTCAGACTCTCTATCCCCAGTGACAGCAGTGCACATCGTGTCACCATGGGCATTGTTATTTCTGGTGGTGTTGTTTACATTCAGTATTTCCTTAACGAAGATAAAAGCCTAATTGTACAAGGCTATTTTACAGTAGAAGACAAACACTACCTGAAGGTACTTACAACATGAATAGTTAAGGAGGATAAGGTAGAGACAAGTGTTACATTTCATAATTAGAAACGAAAGAGAAGTAAGATTGGATGAGTACCCTGAGGTGACGGCAGCTCCGTGCAGGGCCAGGAGTTTTGTCTCCATGTCCTAAGCCTCCTCAGTCTCAAGTCATCTCTCCTCTTTAACCACCAGTACAAATTGACATTTATTGATATTTAAAAGAATCTTCGCTCACTGTAATTTGGCCATACTCATATTTAACTTAAAGAACAATTCTAATACTGAGCATTAATTTCAAGTCACACTCTAAAAGTATGAACTATATATGTGTTCTCATAAGGACTGCATGTGTCCTTGCATTATTCTTGTGAGAAGTCATCATTAGGGTTTTTTTGTGGTGCATATCCTTTTATCAAGCTTTACTTTCCATAGCATGTCTCACATTATGCAATTATTTAAATGTGTCTCTCCACTTATTGCTGCTGTGCTATCAGAGCTTTCTAAACTGCTTGTCCAGCAAATTGTCCTGGCATAACTGTTAAAAACTTCCATCTATTAATTTACTTTTTATTTCCCAAACACTTAAACGGTGGAGCCCATAAAAGTTGTGCCCAAAGTAATCAATGAAATATTGATGCTGGGTGTGCATTTACAGATAAACACAAAGGTGTTAACTGGATGGAGGGGAACGAGAAGCTGTAGACACAAAATGACATAAAATCAGTCTGCTATAAGAGTGTTTTCAATTCCACAGAAACCTCCTTGCTACCCAGTGATATATACACACTCCCAATTATTGCAAAACTTTTAAAAAGATTTCACAAGTTTGAAAACAAGTCTGACGAACCCTTTCTTTTCAGTATTTTTAAATGTTGGTATTATTGAAAAGTGAACCATGATCTGTTTCAGATTTCCCAAATCACTTCTAGCTTTATAAATTCCAAAACAAACACAGTTTTTCCCTTTTAAGCCATTTTCTGAATTTTAAAATCAAACTGTTTCAGTACTAATAATGAGTCTGTCTATATAATAATGAGGATCAGCTCATCCCTAGCGATACTGCTGCTGTGGCCAATACAATGGAAGGACAGAAAGGAGGCAGGGTTTGTGAGTCACAGATAATATCTCTCATTAAACTAAATTATATCCTTGGGGGAAAACCACACACTTTCAGAAAGATGAACTCTTTTTCAGGTCTGGCTTACCTGTAGGCATTTTAACTGCTCATGCAAGTACCATCCAATGGGATGTTTAGTTGGCCAACACTTGGGATGGATCCGCCTACGCCTTTTCGTGACAGGGAGTTTTAAATTCCAAAAAACTCCTTTCACTCCCTAGGAGCCTCTCTCCCTGAGCATCCCCAGCTGTTCCCCAAGGACAAGAGCAATCTCCCTTTCCTTCCAGAAGGGTGCTGCTGACCTAGTCACCCTAAAGGAATATAAAACTGCAAAAGCAAACCAGCCCCGTCACTCCCATACCTTTCTGTAATTTGCTTGTTTACAGAACCTGAAAGTGCAGATAAACTCTTTCTAGATCAAACACAGAAATCTACATAAAAGCAGTAATATAATCTTTATATTGAGCAGATGTAAATGTGCTCATGTAATTGGGGAGGCATTCTGTGAGGATAATGGTGCTAGAAACATAGATTACCTGTAGAGCACGCAGTAAGTAATGGGTTTTGTTTACACTGGGGATGTAGCCATGAGGAAGATGTGATTAAGTCCTCAGCATTCAGCAGGTTGTTCAAAAGGCAGGCTCCTCCACAACCCCTGCCACCATGGGCTGCAGAACGAGCCTTTATGTTCTGTGGCAGCGCAGGTAATGAGCAGCTGATCCCGATCACTTATAGACCGCCTGCCAAGCCAAGGGCTTTTGGGTGGCATTTGATATGATTTGGCTCAGGGAAAGAAAACAATTCTTCAGATACCAAAAACACACACTAGTGTTTTAAAAGCAGTGTTTTCCCCAAATTGTTGCCTTAAAGATCTGTACCTTGAGATGATGACACGTGTTTAGGGTCCATCACCTTTAGCTGACAGACTTGGGCACTACATGGGGCACTGGCATATCAACAATTCCATTTGCAGGTGTTATTTTGGTTTTATTAATTTGAGATTTGTCAGGTTTCATCCACCATGCCCAGATGCATAGTGCAGACGATGGAGTACTGTCTGTTTCTGGTCAGTCCGCTTTTCTGGAGCACCCCATTATTCCCACTGCAGACAGTCCACAAGCACTATTGTGCAGGATAGATTCATGTCAACCAAATGAAGGAACAACGTATTTCATGGTCCGAGTCATGAATTCCCAGCTAAGTGCTTCTAAATCTTAGAAAAAACTGTCTTACTTTCATTAATAGACCAGGTGAACTTAGAAATGTCAGGTTCACAGAGCAGACAAGGACTGGTAGGGCTTGACTCTCTTTCTCCATAGCAAAGTCCATCTATATTACAAGTATTTTCCTGAAAAAAAAAAAAAAAAAAAGGAAAGAAAAATGGGTGAGATGTGGAGGTAAGGAAAAAATAAATAAGAAATATAAGAAATTAGCAGTTAATTATTTCTGGAGATAAGCAGGAACTCGCTTGTCTCTTGAAACAATAAAATAGTCGCAATTTAAATGGTGGTACGTTCTCCCAACAGGGAGAAAACAAGACCTGGTAGTTTTCCAGTTTTCCAGTGTGAGATCCTTGTAGGTGTGAATGTTTTTGCTTAGGCAACATGTGATGTTGCTTGTCATAGATGAATGAGACAGAATGTGATTCTTTTTTTTTCATTTCCACACTTACATAGTGTATGTGATCGTTATTCCCGGCTGTGACTACTACCATGATGATTATTAGCTAATGCTCAAAAGTGAGCTCCATGGGATTAGCAAAAACTGAGACTGGATAAAGCTCCATTTGAAATTTTGGAATGCCTTTTATGGTAACAATTATTTCTGGAAGTTCTTCATAAAAATATGAAAAATCAATGATTTCAAATCAGAATAAAAAATTGCATTAGATTTTAAGCTTCTGTGAGATAATTGTAAAAACCAGCTAACCTGTTACAGGCCTTGTGGTTTCTATCTGCTGCTTCATTAGTTTCTCAAACTTCTTTTGCAAAGTATATCAGTCAATATTTTAGATAGTACCACTTTAAGTATAATGGGTAAGGTAGAGAAACAAAAAGGACTCTCATAATTGTCCCAGCATGATAGAATGTGAAAGATCCTCAACATTAAAATCTGGATGTTAATTAGATGCTATTACATTGTTGTTTTCAAAAGGCTTGATGTTCTGATGAAAAAGATGGTTTTTTTTTTTTTCTGATGTGATAGTGTGCTACAGAATGGGCTCCATAAAAGAAGAACACAGAATGTGAAATGGCCTGATATCAAATGTCCCCTAATTGAAACACCTTTTCTGAAAGCAATTTAGGTATTACAAAGTAATGTTATGAGAGGGGTAATTAGAATGTGCTCTGATGCAATTGGAAGCCTAGTTCAAATAGTCCCTTGAAGCATCTTCAGATAGAAATTATCATGATCTCTAGAGAACACCAGCATATTGAGAAAACATATATATTTCTGATTTTCAAAAATGTAAGAATAAGAAAAACCTTTGACAGAAAAAAACCACCCTAGCTTTAATTGAAATGGTTCTGACACAATTATTTTAATCTGAAATTGAAGTGCTTTTGCCCTCTTTGGGGCCTATAAAGTAATTTCTGTTCACTGATTTTTTTGAAAAAAAGTGAACTTTCATTTTATTTTGGTAACTAGTATGTTCTTGCAATCAGTGCAATCCTGAAAACTTAATTTTCCCATTAGTGTTAATGGGAAGAGTGAGGCAAATGAGTTCAGATAGACCTAATTAACCTTCCTTGTATAAAAATGCAGACTGGTGGTCTGCTATTCACTCCTACTTCCCTAAGGGCAGGAAAACAGGACCAGCACATTCAAATATCCCACCCAATACCTTCCAAAAGTTCCTTTTAAGGCCCCACTAAAAAACAGAAAAGTTGTCTAACGCAGCTCTCTAGAAAATAAGAGCAGGGAAGTTCTTTTTAAGGGATAGGGGATGTTACACTAAGAATTGTGTAGGAAAACAGAGGGTTATAGTGCTCTCCAGGCAGCTCCTAGCATGCTGGCAGTTTAAAACGTAGCACTAGACTTTTGATTACGGTTTTGAAACCGTCAGAGTACTATATGTTTGTACTTAGCAGTGTTTAATGAAAGCAAAAGTTCTCTCAAGGGTGTTTTCACATGACAAAAACTGTGTAACATGCATCTTAGTATACCTCTCGCTAAGGCAGCAAACGGGTATAGAAATGATATAGCTGGCAGTTACAGTGCCCTCGCCAAACGGGCTGGGAGAGGTAAAACAGCTTACTGGCACAGACACAGCGAAGCTGCCTTTCAGGGGAGACTCCTCAGTCTTATTTACTTCCATTCACAGCTGCACGGTACAAGGATTGCCAGCCATGGTCTTTCTGGAAGTGTCTGGCTGTGAAAGGTCCATCATAGAGCGTGCTCTATCTGGTATTCGTACCCCATGTAAATATGAAAAAAAATAAATATTACAGAGAGGAGATTGTGAAAGAGAGAAAAGCGTTAGGCTGTGCAGCTGGCCTGTGAAATAGATTTTCCTCTTCTAAAGCAGTTATTACACACAGTACATCAACGGGAGGGAGAGGGCTAAGGAAGAGATGAACGATCCATATTAAACCTTTGTGCTCTTTAAATTACCTTTAATTTACAAAGTCCGGTTGGATGGAATTGGCAGGCCTGGCACACTGCGTCGTACAGGGTCAGCACTCTGGAATTACTGTACTCGAAGCCATCGTTAGTGATCTAAATGATACAAAAATCATCCTTATAAGTAATAATGTTCCATATGGAGACTGTCTGCTCATTTTGGAGCACATACCATTGCCCCCTTGAACTGGACGCTTGCCAGAAAGATAAATTAAACCACTTGTGAGTGGCTCTACTGCAAGCTAACAAATTGCTTAATGCTCCGAACTAAAAACTATTCATTAATAACCAAAAGATCTTTTGGCTCAGCTGGCATTCAACTTTTCTGATTGCTGTTAATTTTTTTTCTGAGGATTTTTTAAAATACCCTATGGAAACTACATAGGTACTCAAGTACTACAAGGGTGTCTTTCAAGGAGTTGTGAAATGAAATTAAAATTTTTGTCTGAAATTCAGAAGCATTTTCGTACTAATGACAAATCAGTAATTAAACTCCTCAAGGTAAAATAAAAATAAAATGCATATTATTTTGGTGATCTTAAATTAACCCTAAAAAAAAGTGCTAGAGTGGATAATAGCAGATGGCAACAGCCCCATTTCCATAGGAAGGTGCATTAGAAGAACACTCACCTCCTGTCCCAGCTCACAGTTTCCTGTATGTGTAGGTAATTTAGAAAGCCTTAAGTTAGCATGATATTTTTCATTTATGAATGATTACACAATAAGAAAAGGTTAAGTCAGTTTATATTTTAATTTTTCTACAATAAAAACTAAAAGATACCAGACTCATGGGTAAAGGGTTGACATTTGAGAAAGCGTTGTGGCACCTCTTGAGACATGTGAGCACCCCAAAATACTGCTGAAAGCCCTGCTGTAAACACTGATGAATACCAGCAGGAACGCAAAGCCTTTCTGTCAGGTATTTTCAGGTGTTGGCTTCTCACAGTCAAACTAAAGCCGCTGTTGAGCAGATCTAACAAGGCTTTTGCTTGGGATCGGTCAGGTATCACTTCTGTCCTGTTGTTATAAAAACAACTCCCCAGCCCTCCTCCATCTCTCCTGTCACCCCAGAGCTGAAACATCCTCAGTCCCTTTACAAAGGACTTTTACAAGGTCAAGAGTATAATGTTTTTCCATTTTTTGACCCATTAATAAACCATTTAATTTAACAGAAAGAATGTATGTTAAATTGAACAAAGATAACTGGAAGTACAGAGTGTAAATAACTTTAATAGATTTCATAAAAAAGCATCAACTATCATAAGTTCACTGAGAATGATCTAAAAGCTCATGGAACATAATACAGAAGATAGATACTCCCACCATTTCACATGTGATGGTTCTTAGCTCAAAATGTACTGCGAGCTGTGAGCGTTTGTTTCTACAGAAACCAACACAAGGAGGTAGACAGACAGTATTCACGGGTATTCACAATTTGAATTTGTGAAACAGAGTGGACTAATTTAACTTGACGCAAATTCATTGGTATAGCTTTAAAGAAAAAAAATAACTTTTTCCTGTGCATCGTACTCAGGAGAGATGTTAGATATTATGTGTTATACTAGAGGTAAAAACGCTTTTAAAAGAAGTAAAGAACTTACACTGCAGTTTGAGAGGAGAAAAAAATAAACCAGACAACCCCCCTCAAGACCTGCTTTTCCCTGAAAGGCAGTGCTTATTGGCAGCAAGACTTCCATTAAGAATATATTATTCCTAATGCAATTTACATTTCATTTCATTCTTTTACCAGAGTGTCCAATGTTGTCTCGATACCAGTGCACTAATAATGGCTGAAGAAATGGGTAGACAGGGAAAAATATAAAGAGCTGTACAATTGCACTAATTGTTCTGTCTGAAGTGAGCATTGTGAGTGAAATGTAGCTCTTGCCAATTGGATTTTTTTTAATCTGTATTCTTTCTACATTCTATTATAAACATCCATTTTGGTGTCTTTATGCAATTGGGTTGTTTTACAGCTATTTTAATTGCTTTTCCATTAGTCACATTAGTGATGTGGAACAAATACTTCGATGAGACCTAGGCTGAGCAAACCTCTCTTCAAATTCGGTTGGCCCTTAAAAGCCAAAGATGCACTTAGAGTTGTGCCTTGATTGCTTGAAGGTACATATCATCTGGAAAGAAAAAGCCACTTCTCCTGGAGAAGCAGTCAGGACAATCAGGAAATCTGTCACTTCTGCCTGAAGTATTTCATTCATCATGATACAATCGTGGCTATTTGTATCTACATACATTTGACTCGTGCGAATGTTTGTAAATGAAAAGCAAAAGCTGCAAAAACTTTCTGAATTCAAACTCTGTTTCTGTCATACTGACTGTTTAACAGATATTTTTTCTGCTCTTGACAAATACAGGCAACGAAAATGAACTGAGGATAAGCGAGAGACCTGCTTCCCAAATGAGAGAGGTGCCTGCCAAGCTCTTTCACCTCTTCACCCGGACATCTGTGTGGCCAGCCCAAGTCATCGGCTGCCCAGGTAGGAGTTTGTATTTTGATATCTCAACTAATTATACCAAACACCCTGGTGTAGCCCCGTGTACTTTCTTATCTATGTTCGGCAGCATGTCATGGAAAGAATGAGCAAAATCTGAAACATGAATACGAGAGCAGATAAAGTGAGAGAGCACTGAGAGGAGCTTGTCAAGCGTCTATTCCCCCAACGTTGGTAGTGAAAAAAGCTTCCGTGAAACTTTGCTGATTCCTCTGAAATTTGATTTGGGGAGAGAGATTCTGAAAATATCGAATAGTGATTTTTTCCAGAAAGAATTGTTTTGATTTTTGGTTCTGCAAAATCTTTTACCTGTATTTTAAAAAGTCTCTATTAACATAACCCAGAAGATCAATGTTGCAGTAAGTCGCATCAGGAATTTTCTGGAGCACGATTTTTTGAACATCTGTGAAATTCATTTAGAATCATTTTTTTCTTGAAAAGCTCTGTTGGTTTGTTCTCTGTGCTGTCATGTAAGGCCAGCTGCCTTTGAAACCGAGCACTGAGCTCTGCCTTCCCAATTCCATCAGCATAAAGATCCACGGGAGAACTAGGATTTGCATGTGGGCTGAGACGATTTAATTGTACATTTGCTGCAGAGCCATCAACGTGGGTTTTCTGCAGGGTTTGAAGGAGAGGGAAAGGGCAGAAGGCATACAGGGGCAGCGGTTTTATTGAGCTTAAGTGCAAGGAAAGAGACATTCTATATCTGTGTTGAGGGTGAGAAAAGAGAAAAATTGTACAGACCTCCTCAGGGCTGAAAGGCACCACTTGAAAGCAAACTGCATCGCAGTACAGCTGAGCTGTGAGCAAGCTGTCCTGGTTACACTGGAGAAACAGCCCTGTGCATGGACAAAAATATTAGCTGTCCTCTTGGGCCAGGAGACTCAAAGGTATCTCCCTCTCAGATCTTTCCGTCATGAGGCAGCATTTCATCTCACAGTTGGCAGAGTTCAGTATCTCTTTGAGAAATTCTGGAGCCCTACACAGAGGAGCTGCCCTCCTGGTTCAGCCTCGGTGCCTGCCCGCCCTGACAGCACCTGCTCCAGAAGGATGCTCCAAGGGCCACCCCGGCAGCTGAAGCTCAGGCTCTGCTCCCACAGAGACCTTACACTCATCTCTTAAAACACAAATCCCTATCTATTTAAAAGAAAGACTGGATAGAAAACATGGACTGTCAAACATCTCTGTTTCCCCTAAACCACGTGTCCCCAGTCTGGGGTACAGACCGCTGCGGGGTGGAGGACAGACAGTGACACCTCAGTGAAGTGTGTGTTTTAAGTGTTTCATTTTTACATGCTCCAATTTTCAAAGCACATCTGCAGTCTTCCTACAATGCTAATATATTTTTCTCCGCTATAGAGCCTTTAAATGATCTTAGTCTTATAAAAACAAGCAATCGTCAGAAAATAACCATCCAGGCTGAGAGCGAGACCAAGGGTAGCAGGCACAGGGTAAGGCACAGATTTTCTGGAAATATTCAGAAAATAGGTGTAATTTTGTGAACAAAAGGGACTAAAACCACATCAGAGAACCCAGCATGAGCAGGTACTGCAGAAACTTCTTCCTGTGGTCATTGCAGACCAAGATCATGACCATGACATCCTTGCTCATGCCATGCCAGCCCTCGCTGTCTGCCCAGGAGCCAGCCAGTGCTCTGCTCCTGCGCTGCGCAAGCATCAGTCATGAAACAGGGACTCCAAGCTGCCTTACACTTGCTGCCTAATCGGGAGTTGGAGCTGGGGTTTCCAGAAATGAAATACTAATGATTAACAATTGATTAGTGCAACCACATCAATCTCATGCGATTACCTGGAGAAGTGATTGTCATTTGCACTTTTGGATTGCCTACAAAGACACCGGTTTTTAACTCATATTGTTTTGGTTGGTGGTTTGGTTTTTGTTGTTTTTTTTTTTCTCCCTACATGACATTAATGTGAGTATTTCTGCAGGATTTTCATTTCTGAAGGGAAGCAAATTGTGCTTTGCATTTTAATTTACCATGACAACTGATTTCCTCCTGAATCATTTCTTAGAAACATAAGAAATTCCTACTTTCACTTGCCATCTTGCGAACGGCTCCTCACTGGCCACAAAGTGCACAGCCCCCGTCTCTGTAATGTTCAGGAGAGGAATCTGGCAGTCAACAGCCTCAGAGCTGAGAAAATCTGCTTTTGTGGTTTCTTGTTCTCTCGATATCCATTCGCCGTTGAGATGCTACAGTAAAACAGAAGGAGAGTGCAGAAACTGAAGGCTCATAGAAAGAAATTCAAGGTGTCAACATATGTTTATATTTCTAATTAATAATATAACACATTTACAGATGGTTTATTTAAAAGAAATGATGCTGTAACTACAGCCACAGGAAAGAGCAAGCCATGCTCACCTACACATGCTATTGATTTAGGGAATGCTGTGGTCTGCGCTTGGGATGAGCAGCTCGGGGACAGGGTAAGGTGATGGAGCAACTTTGTATTTGCTCCTGGAGCTCAGTAGCCAGCTCGTTGCTCCTTGAAAGCAATATCAGCTACTTATCTAGATCAGCTGCACAAGACATCACTGCTGTTTAGGAGCCTACAGAGCCTTAAGTGGGCTGGCAAATCTCAGCTGTGCCCCATTAGAATGTCAGCACTGAATGGGAATCAGTCTGAACATCTTTTATGAGGTGGATTTATGAGATCAACCAAACCCTTCATATATGGGTATGCTGGTACACCAAGTAATTCAGTCCTAGCATCATCCATGTATAGCTGTTTTTAATAAAATTACAGTGTTAGCAGGTTTAATATTCATTAAAAATTCTGACTTGGTATTGAACTATGACTATGAAAATTCAAATAAGAGCTTCTGTAACATGTTGAAGAAACCTTATATTTAACCACAAAACTTAGCATTCAAAGTGTTTAGGAAAACTACCAAGCGTGCTGATTCCAGATGCACAAAATGAGAAATAATATTGTGATTTCAGGCTCCACTGGACTACAGTGCAGCTGAACCAAACAAGAGTTAAACAAAACCCCGCAGAGAAAATTAGCAAGAATGCATAGCTGTGCATTTCCAAGGAAGCTGGAAAGGGCTGAGCCTCTTCAGCTCCCCTCGCTTGTAGCAGATGTATTGGCAATGGGATTCGAAGGTATTTGCACCCTGCTGTGGCAGTGAGAGAGGATGGCACTTGGCACAGTTCAGGGTAAAGACTTTAACAGAAACATGTCAAAGTTTGACTGTATCATCAATACTTTACGAGCCCATGGGAAGTTGCTTACAATTAACCTGGTGACCTCGCAGTGCAGGTTGGATGAGTCTTTGAAGCCGTAGCCAAACACCCGGATCCTGGTGCAGTCGGAGGCTCGGACATCACAGAGACCCCCGTTCTCTAAACCTGTGATTTCCAAAGCTTGCTCTGAAAGGGTGAAATAGGTACAAAGCTTTAGACAGTAGCACTTACATGCTGTTCTGTTCTCGTTTATCAGAGATTTTGTTGTTGTTGCTCCTCATTGTTTCAGTTTAATTCTCTTCTTTGGGGTCTTCCTTGCTCCCCTGTGAATTTCTCTTGAAAAGAGGAGCAGCAGTTGTCAAAAGAGAAGCAGCAAACCTGCGTGGAATAATCGCCCTGCACAGTCAGTGCTGCAAGAGGTATCGGTGAGCGTCATACAGCTCATGGAATCAATTAACTGAAGCTGCGACTTTTTGATAAAAGGTCTTCGGTGGTAACACCTCTGCAGGTAACAGGATGGGAGTACAGCTAAGGGCAGGGTGTCACTCCATAGGGCAGAGAAGTGTGAGAGTGGGAAGCAGAAGTGTCTGAAGATGACCGTGCCACCGGGCTCCTCATAATGAGAAACAGCATTGCAAAAGACAGTCCTTTTTTTCCAGTAACTGTAGATGAAATAAAAGTAATGATCCTCAAAGGAATGCTTGCTTGGGAGGGTGAAGTCATTAAAAGGTGGCACTCAGCTCTGCAGTGTCAGCACAAGTGTCATGCACCAGCTAAGTTTTACTTAAATCCTATTTTGAGGCCTTAAGTAGGGCTTAAGTGATGTACAGCCTGTGCTGTCCCCGTTACTAGGTTGAATTTCATCCGTTACTGTTTTTAAAATATTTTATGATTCTCAGGTAGAGTTTCATTTGTATTCTGTTGTACTTTAGCTATTCACCATTTAAAATCACTCATTGCATTGGGGTTTTTTTACAGAATCAAAATGCAAGCCCATGGGATAGCGGAATTCACACCATCACTTTAGCAAAAGAATAATTGGGCAGATACTTGCATGGGCACCAGCACAGTGTAGTGCAAGCTGCTGTCCCTGTTCCCTGGTGGGGAGAGGCTGCTTGGCTTTTCTTCTTCCCTGCCCCATCACCGCTGCTCCAGCAGAGCAATGCTGCTCATCTGTCATCTCTGAGCTCCAGCTTATCTAATTCAGAAGCTCTGTGTCACCTAATATTTTAATGGTATGTTGCTTCAGCTCTGATTCCAGGGGCAAAACGCCCTGAGCTGAGCTGATAACCTTCCCCAGTGCCTTGCTGTTCCTTCAGGGCTCTCCCATTTAAGATGTAACCAGGGTGAATGCAGTTTAAACACTGCGATCCCACCAGATTGCAGCCCGGAACAACACAGCTGTACTACTCTCATTTTTTCCAGAGAAAAGAAAGAAAGCAACATAAATGTGAAAAACAGTGAAAAGATTTTTCAGTACTTCTGAAATGCTTTTAGCTTTTCTTTCTTTTATTTTTTGTATTGATTTTTCTGCAGCAGTATTAGCAGCACTGCTGGACACTTTGCAATATTTACAAGAAGAGATGGTTTACAGCTTATCAGCATTCATCAGTTCGTTGTGGATTCCTGTAATGTACAAAACTGTTAGTCAGATGTAGGGAATGCTTTTGATAAATTGCCGCCGCCTGTAGTTAGTGCATAAAAATTAAAAAAGAAAAATCATTATGTTTTTCATGAGATTTTAATAGTTAGCCTCACTAGTACTGAGGTAGCCGGGATTGCATGAACATTTTCATTATCATGGTGGATTTTCAGGCTTCTGGAGATGAAGTAAAATCTCATAGCCTGAGACACCATCGTGTCAGGGCCAGGGCAAGAATATCCAGCCTCAATGCTCTCAAACCATTCTGTACCCATTTTTGTACAACATCTTTAAATTGTTTTCGATGTGTTTTTTCTGTCTGTCTTTGCCTTCTAGTTTTGCCATAGATTAGCCAGTTTTGGCCCAACATGGAAGGCGAAATCTCATTGACACGAGCTTCGGGAAAGTCTCACAGCAGTCGGTAGCTGGCTACTCACCCAGGCAGACCCTGCTTTTGCTCGGGGAAACACAGTCAAGGTTTGGCTGTTGCTCATCGCTCCCTGTGTTAGCGGATGAGCCGTTAATAAGCCTGCGCATGGCATATGCTCACGGGCCAGAGAGGCGGAAAGGTGAGAAGGAAATATCGGAGACCCTGGAACACCTCAGCCAAAGAGCTGCAAGTAGTTCAGCGGGAGGCTGGAGGGGAGAAAGACAGGAGCAGAGGGAAGAGCTGGGAAATCTCGCAAAGGTGAGAGTGAGGGCAAAAGGGCAGCTCTCCAGAGAAAGTGGAGGTCGTGGAGAGCTGGGACGGGTGTCTGGTGTCTGTGGAGGGGTGAGGAACAGGCAGGAGAGAAACTGGTGGGAAATCAGGCAGCGCATGGCACAGGCTTGTGAAAAGTGTGATCTGCTTGAACGTTAATCATTTGTGATCAGGAGTGTGAGCGCTAAAATATAACAAAGTCCAGAACAGAGCATCCTCCTCCTTTGCTCTGTATGGACCACAGGCCAGCAATGTACTTTGACTGTTACTGGTAGATTAAAAACCAAAGCTCAGGAGAGCACCCGGGGCTCGGCTGGGTGGCAGGGGGAGGATTTGAGGAGCTATGTTCACATCCCCTGGCTCAGACAGGGGCACCTCGCTGCGTTTCTAACGCCTGGTCTGCACACACACCAAGTCAACACACCTGAAACATGTCTGTCACCGAGCATTGCACTGGGACACTGATGAACAGCAGGAGATGTTGGGGAAAAAAATAAAAAAAGATTGAGTTTTAACAAAACTGCCTTGGAATAAAAAGGAGAGAGGAGTCCAGACTTGAAAGTTGCATCTAAAAGGCCTCCAGACCTCAGGCGACTAGACAGAGGTGAGGGTCTGTCCTGTTTGGTTTGCAAGGCTTGTGTTGTACCCCTCTGGAGAGGCATCGACCCTCCCAGTCCCTCTGCTCTAAGCCCAGTAGGGATTTGCAGGAAAGAGCAGCAAGTTCAGAGCTGCTGGCAGTGCTGACAGCACAGTTTCTTTCTGTAAGCATTTACAGGAGTCAAACCTGACAACGAGCACCGGCTACATTATAGACTTAAAAAACCCTCTGCATAAATGCACAATGGGTTTTATAGATATTTGTGTAGTGTATCATGTAAATAATAAGTATGCACAGATGTAGAAGTAAAATGGAGACAGTTGACACAAAATCAAGAATCTTGCAAAATTACACTTATTGAAGTCTTACTGGTGGATAGTATGGTTCATGCTGGGTTTCCGCTTTTGATTAGAAAAATATCCTAGCACAAATAAACATTCTTCTGCAGTGTTTGAGAGCTATACATGTAACTTTGGTCTGGAGCAGCAGACCTGAAATTAAAACTGGCAAGAATTTTGTTCAAATAAAGAGAAGGAAATGGTCTTCCCTGCTTTTCTTGATCAGGGTGATAAATAAGCAACCTAAGTCATGAAGAGCAAATCAAGAACCAGATCATAAGCACAGGGTATGGTCACAGCTTTGCTGAAGTGCAAAAGAAAATCGTCCATATCGTCCAATTGCCCTATCCTTGAAATCATTCAGCTGGTGGAGTCCCAGAGCTTGCTGGCGTGACTGTGGACAGTGGGGTATTGAGGCTGTGAGGGTTCTGGATCAGAGTAGACTGGTGCTTGGTTATCTCACAGCTTGGACAGAGCAAGTCTGAACCTGCCTCCATTCAAATACATGCACAAATATTGTATTTATTTCTTTTGTATTTAGAGTTATTTCAGTAGTTGTATTCACAATTATTGAATGCATTATTCTGGAACTCATGGTATCCACAACTCAAAGCTCCTTTGAAAATCCTCCCTAAGAAAAAGTATTAGCAGCTATATGCTGTTTGCCAGGATTTTTGCACATCACTGACCTCCCTGGCATCTAGATGAGGATCGTGTTTGTCCCTGCTGCCAAGCCCAGTTCTCAAAGAACCAGAGCTTGTCACAACAGTGAGCTATGATCTTTAGCTGCCATGGAGTGAATCTGGTTTTTCTGTTTTGAGGATCTCTAGTACCCAGGAAGGAGTGCAGAAGTGAGCCTTGGGAAAGGCATTCTGCAGGCACTCACTGCGTGTGAGAAATGGACTGGCTCAATTTCACACTGAAAGCATCCATGTGCTGCAACAATGTGGGAGATTATTTTTGCTTTAGAAATCTCACTGTGACATTTTATGTCCATTTGAACCTGCTATTTTTGAAAGGCTTGCTAGCAATTTACTTTAGCAGTAGAAGGGAAGTGCTCTGTTAACTATAGAATATTTCCTTTTTTCTCGATGGCCTGGGTAGGTGGTAAAATGTAAGATCTGGCTGGCTGCACATTCATGGCGTTTTCTGGCATAGCAAAGCAGGTCTCGATGTCAGTCCCTTGAAGGCACTGCAGGGCAAGACCCCTGGTGGCACCTGGTGGTTTCCCACAAATGACTGCAGGGATGGCACTCAAAGGGCTTTGGGCATGAGTGTGCTCATGGGTGTCATCATGGCCCTTATGTCCACACTAGTATCCACTTGGTTACTTTTAGTAGTTTTCCCAACTTTACAGTTGCTGCATTAGACTAACATCTGGTTATTACACTAGGATTTTTATTCACCATTGTTTGAACGTTCTGTACTGGTAGATTGTGGGTTCTTTACACAACACAAAGGCATTATAGCTTTGCTCTGAATTTTTGGCTTTTGGTTTAAATCAGACCTTTTAATGTTTTGCAGGTTTTAATCCTATAGCTCATAAACTATCATGAATTTGTTATTTATTGTGTGTGCATGTGTGTGAGTATTTGGAGAAGGAGGTTGTTTGTTCGGGGCTTTTTGTTTTGGATTTAATAAGATTTAAGGCTGAGATTTCCTGCGGTGCCTGTAAACAGCCTGATGTAAAGAAGTTATAGGCATGCATCTGGAGTGTCTGGCTTTGGTCAGTTTAAATCAGACCTATAATTTGGTAAACTTTTCTAGCATTTAATTCTGTATACTTCAGAAAATGATTTTTTTTTTTAAGCTACATGTTTCACTGAACTGCTTTCACTGCTTTGCATTAAAGCAAATTAATCACCAGAAAACACTAATCTCCCTGATCTGATTTGCAGGGAATAGTAT